GGAAATGGACTGGATGTGTCCTTATTTTCTACCTCCAATTTGAGTGATTCCATACTTTTTACCTCCAATTTGAGTGATTCCATACTTTTTTCCTCAGAATTGAGTGATTCCATATTTTTTCCCTGTGCTTGGTCAATAAAAGTAACATTCACTGACTTCCACAATGTTTTCTCTTCATTTCTTTGAGTGTTCCTGAAGGACAACAAGTTGCACTTTGGAATGTTTGTTGTATCATGTTTTTGATCTGAGTTTGTTTTACAGAATGAAATGTCTGAATGAGTGCTCATCCAAGACTGCTGATTCCATATTTTTTGCCAGGGGTTGAACCCCCAACAGGTTGAGGAAGTGTCCAACAAATCCTCTCGGTGGCTACAGAGGGCTGTCATGAAAAACAGCAGACACTAATCATGGCAGCACAGGAGCAGCAGAGACTGAGGGCGACCGCAGCATGGTCCAGCACATTACAGCAGAGTGTAAGATGCAGACAGGTACATGATACATGTGGCTGGAACGGTGAACAGGAACATCTGAGCTGAGGGTGGAGTGGAGCTTCTACAGTCCAAGTTGAGACTTCAGGTGTGTTTGAGAACAGGCTCAGGTACTGTAGGTCTTCCAGATCCAGACTGACAGTCAGTCAAATAGTTTCTACACAGAGTTGAATTGGAAATTTTCATGCACGTTCGTGCCACTGTAGGAAAAATGTGCATTGTTCAAAATGGTATGTCAGAATAAACTGGAATCTGCTGGATTTCTTCTTTAAAACTTTATTTTCAATCTTCTGACTCCAATCAGGTTCACAGTACAGCACTCAGCAGGCCTCAGCATAAGACCTTGAGCTAAATCAAAACAAAACACAAGGAGCCTTGCTCTAAAGCAGAGACTGCCAAACACTGACAACTTCTTTCTACTATAATAATGAATTGACCTTTTAATGTTCATCTCTTCCTGGTTACACCAACCTTTTTACGTCAGACGTCAGAATGTCACTCATTTTTGTTTAGACTGAAAAAAGAACACATGATAACACACCAACTCTTTGTCAGCTTTAATTTAAAGGCTGAAATGATCAGAAAGTATAAAATACAATACTGCATCTAATAATCAGTTACAAAATTTCCTTCACCAATGTGAACGTTTTTTTACTTGATTCACATGCAGCTAATTGATTTTTTAAAACATTTTTCTAAAGTTTCTGATTGATTTTAGAGTAAACCTGGTCACACATCACTGACTGCTAGTTTTAGTTACAGTTCATGGTGTTCTTCAGGCTGTACACGTTTAAAGCACAAAACCTGCATTTCTTCTACCTTTTTTTTTCACTTGGTGGAATTCAATTAGATTTTTGATCTCTTGAAATAATCCAACTAGCATTGGGTCTTTTCTCTCGCTTCGGGCTTAGTTTTCAGCAAAGCATGTAAATAATTCGTTCTCTGATCTAGGGCTGCCACAAACGAATATTTTTACAGTCGACTAATCACCGATTATTATTTTTTGAATAGTCGACTAATTGTGGCAGCCCTACTCTGATCTAAATATAATTATGCAGTTAAAAGTTTGTGTTTTTGTGTCACTAATATAACTTTTCTTTTACATTTTGTCATCTTATAAGAAATTATTGATATAATTTTGTTTTCTGGTTGGGAGGAGCTATTGGGGGGGTGTCTGCACCATCCCACTGGTTGCATGTTCTTTACCTAACGGCAGGAACAGTGGTAATTCACTGATTTTATCATTTGTCCTAGTTTTTCCTACATGTTGACTCATGTTTGGTTTGCCATACATGCACATCTTCTCAACAGATGAGAAGGAAATGGGAGAAGATGAACGACTCTCCAAAGAAGAAGAGGTTGAGGGCCAATCAGAGGAGCAGCAGCAGCAGCAGGAGGAGGAGAAGGAAGAGGAGGAGCAGGCTCAGGAAGAAGAGAAGGAAGAATCAGAGCAGAGCCACAGAGCCTCCATCATAGCTGCACAGAAGAGGTCTGAAAGTTCTGCTTGAGTGGGAAACTGACGTGGATAAAAAAGGAGCGTATGGATGGATAGTTGAACAGGAAGACGTCCTAATGCATTGATTTAGTTTTATAGGTGACTTTAAAGCCCTAACGTTAACGCTGTAAGTTTTTATTTTTATGGTTTAAAATTAGTTACTTAAGTTATTTAGTGATGCACTGATACCAGATTTTTCCAAAGAATTAGAATACAAATACTGAGGTGTAAGTACTTATAAAACTGATACACTTTTTATAATTAATTAGAAAATCAGAGGAGCTTCAGGTCAGCAGTATTTTATTTTATGAGAGGCCGTCAGTGAGAGGTGAGACTGTCAGGAAGCTCGTGCAGGATCCCTTTCTGCTCAGCTTCTTCCTGCTGCTGAAAAACTCTTTAAACTTGGAGTTGTTAGTTGTTTTCAGATGTTTTATTAAGCTGTTTGTGTTAAAATGCTGGATTTCATGACTGCTTCCGAGCTTTACTTTTAGCTGTGTCTCAATTCATGGGCTGCATCCTCATTAGTGCGCATTTGACGGCCGCGTACGTCACTGCCCAACACCGAATGCTGTCCCAATTCGAAGGCTCCTCATGCGGCCGAGAAATGCGACCCACAAAATCAAGGATGCACCCGAGTATCCCTCCCATCCGAGGGTATCCCAAGATTCAATGTGCCGACAGCAGACAGCAAACAGCAAACCCATCACATCGAAACGAGGATTAAGTCCAAAAGTGGAATGTGGAAAAATAGGCAAATATAGGGTTTTGATTTAAATGTGTGCAAAAATAGCATTTTGCCAAAATATAATGAATTAATGCCTTATCAATGAATCATTTGATTGAACTGTCTGAGATATAATCCTAAAAAATATTTTTGAAGCATTTTTTTTAAGCAGTGGCAACAAAAAAACTGATTTTGAGGAAAAACGCCTTAAAATTTTGAAATTTTCTGTGAGTTAGCAAAGTTTTTGTTTCTTTCCAACTGGGAAATCTTAATATGCGAATATTATTTGAGGTTTCCTCTTTAAATTATATCAAAAATTACTCAATAAATTTACATGAAATTAGGAATCAGACCAAATAGTAATGTATTGTAACAAAAAAGACAAATTAAATCATATCTCTGGATAAGTTGATGATTTCAGGATGATCCAGGTATCAAAATGTAGCTTTTAAAGCCAGAAATCTGAAAATGTAATTAGGTCATTTTGTCCAAATTTGACTTAATCCTCATTTCGATATGATGGGTCACAAATGAAGACAGTGGAGTTTTAATTTTTTTACCAAGTCAGCATAGTTTGGAAATTCATCCCAGATCGAAGAATTTGTTTTTAAATGTAAGTTTATCAACTTAGCTGATGAAATTTTTGCTGCAATAAGAAGTTAATGCAACTGCAAGGACTGAAACTGGAGCTAAACCAAAATTATTAATATTGTTTATATTTATGTGTAACGTTTTAATTGTAAAGCGATTCTTCTGGTGAAAAGACGTGTCTGATATGAAACCGATCACTATGGTATCGGGGTAGCGTGTTGTCACGCAAACTTTCATCAAACCGACATCAAATGAAGGCTAGACCGTCTCATTTAACAGCAGTTTCATGCAGCCTACTTGGACTGGGAAGGATGTGGTCCACATGGCCCGGTGGGTCACGTGTTCTTGAGGATGGTTAAGGTGTGTGTCTCAGTTCATGGGTTGCAGCAGACGTAGACGGCGGCCGACATTGTCTGCAGTCGTTCGTGTCGGCTGTGAAATGAGACGGTTTGCTTGATCACGCTCTGTCCATTACCATGGTTTCATTTCTTATTGTTTCAGTTGTTTTTTAAAGATATAACTTCATAAAATTCAGTTTTAATAGAAAAACATTACAAGTAAATAAATGAAAAGCATTAATAATTTAGGTTTAGCTCCGGTATCAGTACTTGTAACTGCGTTTTATTTAACATCTCATTGCAACAAAAGTTTCTTCAGCTGAGTTGTTTAACTTACCTTTTTTGGTTCGTGATAAAATTCCAAACTTAGTCATTAAAAAATAAATAAAAGTGACGCAAGTGGCCAACAAATGAAGCCAACATCCGCTGCAACCCATGAATTGAGACAGTTTTTGTTTCCATCGTTCACTTTGACCGCCCCCCCCCCCCCACAATAATCACGGCTTCTTCTTCTGCTGTTTATTGGTGGTTAGCAGACGACTTTAGAGTTCACTGCTGCCACCATTTGGTCAGTCTGCACATGGCTGACCCAGCTCCTCCTCTACCACCTGAACGCTCAGTCTGCAGTGGTTTTAGTACTGTGGTATCACAAACACCTGTCGGAGTAAGAGTATCTGGTATCAGTGTCATTGCTTCCCTAGATTTCTTAATAAAAATGTCTTTAGAACAGCTGTTTTTACGTTATTTCCACGAGTATTTCTTTAGGATTCTCGTTTCTTCTGTGGAGTTTTGTTAATTTTAAATTCCTCAGATTTTAGCTTAGCATCAAAATATTTCAGCTTCCTTTGGTTTATTCTAACGTGCAGATTAGCTGACTTTTCAAAGTTTTGTTGATAACTGTTGAGCAGTTCTCTGTGTATTTTTTAAGGAAAAGGTATGTTTGTTAATAAGCTTTTCTAAATGTATCATTGTAATGGAATCATATCTCAAGGTTTGTAGAGTTTGACAGAAGCAGCAGCTGATCCCCGTCTCTCTGACCTGGACCCAGCAGCAAACTCAAACATTCAGATGAAGATTTGTTAAATTAAAATAATTAATTTGGGATAATCCTAATGTTTACAAGCTGCAGAAATTCTGCATTTTAAGTCAAAATATTTATCTTAAATTCTGTTTTGTTATATTTAATGATGACATTGAGTTTTCCTATTTATTTATTTATCTGACAGTTTGTGTTTCCGCACTGGTTCAGTCTATTGTGCTCATTCTTCACCTTTATTTTATTAAAATCTTCATTTGATTTCTGCAGTATTAATGTTAAGTTTAAACCTGGATTTAAATATTTAGACGTTTTTTTTTTCTTCCAAATGTTTCTTGTATTTGGTGCCAACATAATGTGTGCCTTGGTACGTTGTCAGTTAGCTGTAGCTTCTTGTACAGTAGGAAATCAACAGAATGTTTGGATATGACAGACAGAGTGTCTATGCAAATGTAACAGATGTGTTTCCACATCTGGCAGCACGTTCTGCTTTGAACTGAAGCTTTTAGTACTTAGTAGTTGTAGATTTTTACATTTATCTGAAGTAAGTTTGAGGTGTTGATCGATGAGAACTTTGGTCTGAAGATTTTGGACAAATCTTTGTGTTTTTAATAATGTTAAAAAAGACCACTTGATGAATTTAGTTTCTTGTCTCCACACCTTCACTGCAGATTTGATTATTTCCTTTCAGCACTGTTTAGTTTCCACAAAACATGGGTTTAATTTTGAAAACCACCTCAGATCTTCAGCAAGCTGAAGATTAGATGCTGTCTTTGTGTTTTTGGCTTGGCTCTGGTGCTCAGATATGTTTGTGCTTCAGCTGTGGTCGTTTCGTCTCTCAACATGTCTAATAAAGTTTTTCAGCAGCAGCTCTCATTTATCTTGTCTGCTGCAGGTTAAATGTTTAGGTTTGTGTGAGTAAAATGTTTTTATCTCTCACCAACACAGTTGATGATACCTGTGAGTGTTTTATTGTTAGCAAAATATCTGATAAACTACTGAAACTCAAAAATAATTAATGGTAGCCAATTCAAGATGGCCGTCACAGCTAACTGATCCCAGTCTACATGGGATGTCCTCAGTTAGTTTTACAGATGTTCAGTTAAAATGTGGTGTGGTAGTAGCTGAGTTATATTCACATGTACTCGTCTATCTGGGAGATGATGTAATATTCCAGGTTATTCTGTTTATAACTGCATCATTTCACCTTTATCCAGTGATTTAGGATTTAAACTCAAGAAACAGAGGGTGACATACATTCCTTCATTTATTACTGATAATTACACTCACCGGCCACTTTATTAGGTACACCATGCCAGTAACAGGTTGGACCCCCTTTTGCCTTCAGAACAGCCTCAATTCTTCGTGGCATAGATTCAACAAGGTGCTGGAAGCATTCCTCACAGATTTTGGTCCATATTGACATGATGGCATCACACAGTTGCC